GCACCTTTTGATCTTGTAACTCTTTCATATTATGCCCTTTATAACAGCGACAGCGTACATAATAGTACAAGTACCCTTATGAAGAAATACATACATACATACATACATAAACACTCACGCCTGTCACCCAGAGGGGTAGGCAGAGACTACGGACTTCCATTTGGCGCGATCCTGACACACCTCTCTCGCCTCTTTCACATCCATATATCTACGCATACACGCTCGTCGGTTAAGGGTACTCCTAATCTGGCCCATTTTCAATGTATCGCCGATCTGGTCGATAAACCTTCGTCTAGGGCGTCCCTTCCCGACCCTGCCGTTCACTTCTGCAACATAAATTTGCTTTGTCACTCTTTCCTCGTTCATTCTTTCTACGTGACCAAACCACCGAAGCATTCCTTTCTTAATCCTTGTCACAACGTCATCTTGCAAACCACACTTTTCTCTTATTACACTATTTCTCACCCTGTCATTCAGATTCAGCCCTAGCATACTCCTTAAGGAACGCATTTCTACAGCATTTATTCTACTCTCATGCTTCTTCTGCCAGACCCAACTTTCACTACCATACATTAAAGTGGGTACTAACACAGCATTATGAATTGCCATACGTGCCTTAGTTGACACATTCTGACTCCTCACAATAGCGTGTAGAGCCCCATTCACTCTATTTCCTGCGTTCACTCGTCGTTCTATATCCTTATCATATCTACCATCCCTGCTAAATAAACATCCCAAATATACAAACTCATCCACTTGCTCAATCAACTCCCCTTCTATTCTTATTTTACATAAAGTTTTACTTTCTTCTCTTTCAAAAACCATCACTTTCGTCTTACTTGCGTTCACTTTCATACCCCTTTCTTTCAATGAACAATTCATTATAAAGTAACCATCATTTGCAACTCGGCCGCCGACGATGCAAATATGACTTGATCATCGGCGTACAAAAGGCATTTTACGGTTGACTCACCCATTCTCAACCCACATTCTTCAACTTTCAAAGTTTGCAAACAACTGTCCATAAATAGGTTAAACAGCCACGGGGAAGCCACACATCCCTGTCTGACACCTGAAGAAATCTGTAAGATTAAGTCTGAAATAATCTAAACGCATCTTTTTGGTTTTGTTATTTTAGCAATGGCCTGCATTATAGTCAACGTTTATCATACAAATAACTTTAATTCAGAGGCTACACGCCTGCTGTAAATTTCACAGGTTCAGTCACTTTAATTGTAACAAACTTTACGGTGCTTTGATGAACTTATAGAAAATTAAATCATCTCAGACTTGCAGGTTTCCTCATAAAGTTTTCTTTACGACCAGATCTGTGATAAAACACGTACTAATCACGCTGGACAGCGAGTCACAAGTCTGAGTGATAGAAGATATGACTGGCATTTTCGGTAGAAATATAAATTGGAAGAAAACTAATAAATGCCCCTGTAATTATAATTTTTTTTTTATAGGATAGGGTGACAAACGAGCACACAGTCCACCTGATGGTAAGTGGTTGCTGTGGCCCATAGACATCTGTATTTATGCTCGTTTGCGAATCAAAATGCAGATGCATTGTCACCCGTGAGGACTAAGATAGAATGCCTCCTTTCCAGTAAAATGGGTCTCCGGTTCTCTACACTCACCATACGAAACACAGCAGCATGAAGCTACTATTTGACGCTGATATTCTGTGAGAGCGTGGTCCTTCCCCGGTCGAGCCGACCCATTCGTGCTACAACTACTAATATAGCTGCAGCATGGCTCTACCACGTATAATTTAAAATTTAAAGAGATATTGCGCAGGTAAGCAAAATCAGTAGTATATATGGCAATTTTTATATTAGTAAAATATAAATTGTAAAAAAAAACCTAATAAATGCCTGTATTTATAACTTCAAAAATATATTCACTGCGCAGGTAAGTAAAATAAGTAGTATAAATGATAATTTTTATATTAGTAAATAAATAGTTTATATGACGTTTTTTTAATTAGTGAAATATAAATTGGAAACAAAAAAAACTTAACTGCATGTAATTAATAATTTTAAAAAGATATTCACTGCGCAGGTAAGCAAAATAAGTTGTATAAATGACTATTTCTTAATTAGTGAAATATAAATTGAAAAAAAAAAACCTAATAAATGCCCTGTAATTATAATTTTAAAAAGATATTCACTGCGCAGGTAAGCAAAATAAGTTGTATAAATGACAATTTCTTAATTAGTGAAATATAAATTGAAAAAAAAAACCTAATAAATGCCCTGTAATTATAATTTTAAAAAGATATTCACTGCGCAGGTAAGCAAAATAAGTTGTATAAATGACAATTTCTTAATTAGTGAAATATAAATTGAAAAAAAAAAACCTAATAAATGCCCTGTAATTATAATTTTAAAAAGATATTCACTGCGCAGGTAAGCAAAATAAGTAGTATAAATGACAATTTTTATATTAGTAAAATATAAATAAGAAAAAAAAAACTAATAAATGCCTGTAATTATAATTTTAAAAAGATATTCACTGCGCAGGTGAGCAAAATAAGTAGTATAAAGGACTTACCTGTAATTATACTGACCTTCTAGACCGGAACACAGCAGTGCAGGCAAATTGGTAAGAGGGACTCGGGCAGAAAAAATTCGTACCATCTCTTAAATGATCTTTAACCAAAAAAGTCACAGATGCAATTTCATTGCCGAGCAGTAAGTTGTCATGCCTCACTCTAATTCTAGTCAACGTCGATCATCTAACTAGCTCTATTTCGCTTCACACACCGTGGAAGCCAATCTTCCTACCCTTCTGAAAATTCGACAAGATGCGTGAATGTATGTACTACTGCAAAATTGCTCTTTAGTGGCTTAGTGGCCAGTTATCGTAAGAGGCGACAGAGTCAAACTAAAACAGGAGACGGGCAGCAGCATCTTCCTGATAATAATTGAAAATAATAAAAAAATGCGGTCACTAACCCGCCTACTAAGCGTGGCAACTCTAGCAAAATTCCTCTATGAAGCAATCATGAGAAAGGACTATGTTCTGCAGTAAAAGTATAATGAATGAATGAATGAATACTGATGGTATGCCATAGATTGCAGAAATATCGACAAAATAATTGTCTCTTCGCAGGTCGAAAATGCGTGACGCGACGACGCTGGGAGTACGGGCGGAGTGAATTCAAACTGCGTCGGCTACTCGAGCGGCGGCGCTTCACGCGCGTTCACTCCGACGACTCTGAGGACGAGCCAGCGCCCATGCTACCGCCCACGCAACCGTCCGCCAATGCATGATGTCACATGTCTCAAGCCCATTTTCCTATACGTATACGCAAAATAACACCCAATACCTCACTAGTGCCAGTAACTGTATTTTTGAATGGATTACAACCACGTATACAAGACGGTTACGACACGCATCTACTTGACAATGCTTTTACGTACAAAAGAAATACAATATCCAATATCTTCCGACACAAGTGTAGTAATCGAACTACATAATATATAGATAACATTTATTATTTGTAGGGGTTAAAGAGAACAACATTCCAAGACAAAAACTCCAAACTGACCTAAAAAAACCATTGTCATTTTCACTAAGTCATAGAATAATTAAAATCTACTGATATTGCACAAAGACATTCAAATGTATACAATTTTAAATATCTTTGATGAAAATGTTCGCAATGACCGCTCTACAAGCCTTTAAATACATTGATTGTACACGACCCTTTAAAAATATAGTTATTTATCAGATGGCTGATTCAGATTAATACATGATTCAGATTTAAAAAAAACTCAAAGCAGCGTCGGGACGAAATAGGACGAGAGGATCTCGTATAGTTAAATCTCACCACAAAATATATCTTCACTTCTTGTTGTTACTCTCGTGTTATAGTGGCAAAAATCTGTAGAGATCTTAAAATATAGAAATCATATAAAAATAACCATTGCTATAGAATTGGTAATAAGGATGCCACCATGCTATTTTTTTTATCTTTTTTCAAAAAGTTAAATTTTAATCTAAAGTCTAATATTCTACTGCTAGATAAAAGCTTCCTATCACGAGAACGTAATAGAGAAATTTTGAGAAATCTCTCTGATTATTAATTTTTCTTAGTGTTAAAATACATAATATTACGCCGTCCTACCACAGCTCGAACTAATAAATACACACTTTAACATATGATTTTCTGTAAATATGTACCTATATACCGTTATATATAATATACCGTTTGACCTCTCTTCGTAAATGAATTTTCTTTTATACGCTTTCGATCTTCCTAATTCTAATTTTCATTAAAAAAAATCCACTTCAAAAAACACAGTCCACATGGTAAGTGAAAAGGTGGACGCTGTGGCCCAAATACATCTACATCTATCCTCAATTAAGAATCAACATGCATTGTCACCCCTAAGGACTTAGATGGAGCCTCGTTACCAGTACAATGGTGTCCGGATTTCGTGATTCAACATACGAAACAAAGCTGCATTATACTACTATATATACCCAACGTATATATAATACCTATACTTTTCTTTAAAACATCGAATTTATAATATATCCAAGTCCACTGCTGAACATAAGCTTTCAACAAAGAATGCCACAAGGCACGCTTCTGAGCCACCTGCATACATCGACCTCCTGCGTATCGTGTTGAGTCGACACTATTTCTAGAGGGAGGACGCCCTACACTGGCCACTTCAGCTTACTGATCCGTCGGACTACGTTGGTTACTCTAGTTCTATTGCGGATATCTTTTTTACGAAGTCTATCACGAAGAGAAACTCCGAGCATAGCTCTTTCCATAGTTCACTCAACGACCTTGAGCTTACTCATACCGTATAGGACCCCGTCTCAGATCCATGTAATCACTGTTATGTAATTGATTGACGTATAAAACCAATTTACTGAAACTGATATATATTATATAACAATATAAAGTAAACACGCGTGTATACCTACATTTTTATTGAAATTATTAAATAAATTGTTACTGAAACCTTAAAACACTACTTTCTTCTGCCGATTATTATATGATTCCGAGGAGATATTTTTGGATCGAACACAGGACGAATCTCGCAGGAAAGACCTGAAACCAATTAATAAAGTTATAAAGTAGACATTGAATTAATTATAGTGACCTATGTAGACCACTGCGACATCTTCTGGTCGACAAACAAAAACAAACTGTTATCAGAGCAGAATATTAAAGAATTCCGAAAATGTTTGATGCAGTCTCTTATACGATATATTTTGTAGCATCTGACGCACTGCCAAAAGCATTTACAATAGAAAAACAATCTTTATGATAAATATAAGTGAAACATGTAAATTTTTAAAAGATTCTAATCGGGATTCGAGTCTGGGACCACGTAGTGAATACATTAAATGAACAATAAATTTGACGTTCGATAAGTTCGATTTATAAAAAGGTTATTAAAACAGATCAATAACTGGACCTAGTTATGCAAAAAGGCTATTTTTGAGACCTAACTTACAAAAAGCTACTTTTGATATATAACCCACAAGAAGCTACTTTTGAGACCTAACCTACAAGAAGCTACTTTTGAGACCTAACTCACAAAAAGCTGCTTTTGAGACCTAACCTTCAAGAAGCTACTTTTGAGATGTTGACGCATAAAGTTTGTATCGATAATTAAATTGTATTTAGTGGCTTACTTCGTCTTCGTTTATCGTCTTTTGACGTATACAACATGTAAAATGTATACAATATAAAAAAAAAACAGCATGTCCTATCCGAAAGTGGCACATGGATCATTGGTCACGGCGAAATGAAATATAATTGTTTCTTAGACGCAAGAAAATAAAATTTCGTTTGTCAAATGTCTTTTTTTTTCGAATCTGCTACAGTCTCTGACCGAAGAAATAGTTAAGAAACTCTGCAAGTATCTTTTTCGCGGTCAAAGTTTGTATCGATAATTAAATTGTATTTAGTGGCTTACTTCGTCTTCGTTTATCGTCTTTTGACGTATACAACATGTAAAATGTATACAATATAAAAAAAAACAGCATGTCCTATCCGAAAGTGGCACATGGATCATTGGTCACGGCGAAATGAAATATAATTGTTTCTTAGACGCAAGAAAATAAAATTTCGTTTGTCAAATGTCTTTTTTTTCGAATCTGCTACAGTCTCTGACCGAAGAAATAGTAAAAGAAACTCTGCAAGTATCTTTTTCGCGGTCAAGGACATTACCAAAGAAAATAAAACCATCACTTTATTAATGAATATCAAAATGTTATTGTTATTTATAATACACGATTTTTACTACAGTTTACTTAAAACTAAGCAATTTTTAAACGCTAGCAACAACATCGTCGGCACAGAATGATTAAACGTGCGTCGTGCGTATTGTTTTCCGACACGTCCGCGCCGCATGTATTGCCATATAAGTTTTCCTACTTAATTAAATTTTGCTTTATTTTACGGGGTAATTTTTCATTTATTCTCTATAAAGGATTACATGAATTGAATCATATCACGATACCTAAAAGCACCCTGACGGTTCAGACAGGTTTTTTTTTAATACTGTATAACTCATTTTTACTCGAGTGTGAATAAAATTCTTTTCGCTAAATTACTTTGAACTAATTATTATTCCTCAAATTTTGTTCTTCATTAGTTTGTGGCGCGCTGTCGTTGCGCTACAAGCGAAATATATCTAAGCCTAAATCGCGCTAACAAAGTTTCGAAATTAAAGCAGTATATAGAATAGCTCCGAACTACCACTTGAAGCATTGGCCGCTCCCCGGACAGAACACCTTGCTCGGTGGGAGATCTCCCCTTTTCCTTCTACCGGCCACAGTGGTGACCCCGACGTGTTTCTACCGGCCACAAGTTTATTGAAAGTGAATTGAAAATTAAATATTATAAATATGTCCAATATTATATTATATTATATTTTTAAATTAAAAATACACATCTGTTAAACTTCTCTTAGTACATTTTTGTAGAATAAAGAGAGAGAGAGAGAGAGAGAGAGAAAGAGATAGTGTGTAAGATCAGATATCCCTAGTTCTTTTCTTCTTTTTATTAAATAAACATTTTGGTAAGCTTAAATATGGCAAATTGTACAAAGTGCCAAAGATAACAAGTCTAGTTCTAATAAGTTAAATAGATAAGTTATATACCTGTTTTTGCTTATGTTAAATGAAACTCGATCCGTCTTATAACAAAAAAGTTGTTTAAAATTAGCCTCAAGTTTAAACTAGAATATTAAACGAAAGAAGTCTCTCAGAAATATGCAAACTAAAATAAAAAGTATGGAATTATGTCAAATTTTAGTATTTTAAAGTAGTGTATAATATTATATAAACGAAGTTTTGTAATAAGACGGAGCGGAGTGTTTTCTTGTGTGAAGCTGTGTTTGTAAATACAATAATTATTTGTTATTGTAATGTAATTGATTCATGTATTAATTTTTTATTTGAATAAATCTATTTGTCACATGTTTTTAGTTTGTTTATTAAAAAATAGCAACCCGCCCCAGCATCGCTTGGAATCTATTAATGTGGCGTTATTTAGATTTAATATAGTCAAAGACCATTTTTATTCTATCATTTTTTCGTTTAAAAAAAACTCAAAACGTTTTCCGATAAAATATATGGTTTGGTTCTGGAGTGATCCCTCGTCTTAAAAAATTTCTAAGGGCTTCATTTTTTTTTTATTATCATCATTTTTTTTAGGAAATTTAATGCCCTTTAATTTGACGTTATCAAATAGGCCGTACAATGATATGCCGCGGACTTATCGTTAATCAAAGCAAAAAAGTTCTTTTTAAGTTTATATAAGATAATCAATAACTTTTGAAATAATGATCGTATAGGAAATTGAAGGAGGGTTTTGAAAACTGCATGACATCCCCATGATTGATGAATGACTTTTGACGAAATTTTTTTTCGAAGAGATATTTGGATAACTTGGTATAACTTTGGATAAAATGGATGAACGAAGGATATATAATTTTTCAACCTTAAAGAGTCCCGGAAAATCCCTGAGAAATTCAAAGCGCTGCGGTTTTTTTTTTCTTAGTGTCCCGAAGTTTCAAATTTATCGTTCTCGCAAAAAATCACCATTATGAGCAATTTTTCGATTCTTATTCATTTTTTCCAATAAAAAAATATTATTATTATTTATACTTATATTATTTTTTTCAATTATGATGAGCTGACTAACGCTACTTGCAGTCACGCACACAACCACGCAGAGATGGAAAAAATCATGATTTTTTTGATTTTTTTTTGAATTTTTTGATTTTTTTGTATATTTGGAAATACACGAGTTGGTAACACTTTTTAACATAGTAGGATTAAAAGTTTATGAATACACTAGCTGTTCCTCGCGACTTCGCCTGCGTGTTATTTGGGGTTTTAGTTTTTTTGCACGGAACCCTAATTCTTTTTCTAAAATAAAAGTAGCCTATGTTACTTTACTCTTTATGACATCAGCTGCTAGCTAAAAAAAATGTATTTTTGTTATACGTATCGTATATACTTTCATATGCATTTAGTAAAAAGCCGTAATTTTGACATTACAAACAGACACTTCAATTTATTTATTTGTATAGATATTGTGCCGGACGGGCGTAACTCTCCGGAGTAAATGTTGTCGAAGATACTCCGCGAGCCGCTCACGTCCTACACCTATAGGTTCTGGAGGATACTTTCACTACCGCCTTTGTGTATGCTGTTGGAGAACTGTGGACTGAGGTTCAGAATTAAAAATGCACGATTTATAAATTAAAACAGCAAGGGAGTGGCCAGCGGTTCGACTGATTAATTAGTCGCGAAATATTATTATATTTATTTATTGAATACAGTTGTTCAACTATGGTTGTTCACTATTGGTTGGTCACTATATATTTCAAAACACAGATTTAATTAAAACACACGGTAATATTTAAATTTCTATTGGTTTTTAAAATTTCTATTCGTATTTTCAAAATATCTATTGATAATATCAAATATCTATTGGCAGTAACAAATTTCCATTGGTATTTTTAAATATATCTATTGGTAATTTCGAATATCTATTGGAAGTAACAAATTTCTATTGGTAGTATCAAAATATCTATTGGAGTAGTTGGTTTTTTAACACTACTGACTAGCAGCTATTAATCAACTAAAATTAGTTGAATTTAACACTTTTGTAACTGCGAATATCAGTTACCACTTTTTCCGTCTAGCTAACACTTTTCACTATATGTAACGGCGAAATTTCCGTTACCACTTTTTTCGGCTAGCTAACACTTTTTCACTATATGTAACTGCGAATTTTCAGTTACCACTTTTTTCAGCTAGCTAACACTATTTCACTATATGCAACTGAGAATTTTCAGTTGCCACTTTTTTCGACTATGTGTAACTGCGATTTTCAGTTACGACCTTTTTCGGCTAGCTAAACTTTTTCTATTTCACTATAACTTTTCACTGTGTTCTGCTACTAGTCACTTCAGCTACTACCGGATACTACTGCTTGTTACTGGTAGTTCTTCCTACTACCACGTTACTGTGATTTGCCCCCATAAGGTAGACTTCGGCTATACTCTATAGAGAGCCGCTTGCCATTTTCTGGTTTTGCCTCTTTATTTTTAAACATTTTCATAATTAGCACAAATCGCAATATTTTCTATATAATGCTAATTTTTACACTAACACGCTATACACTATTAAATAGGCATTTTGGTCCTTTATCATTATGTGATAAGGGTTACTTAATATATTTACATTTAAAAAAGTTATTAAACAAAATGTACTAAATTTTTATAACAAATGTGCACATTAAATCTTTAATTTTACTATATTTATCAAATGCGTTTATTTACACAAATTATCTCTTTACTATTGCAATCTATACATCATATGCTAACTAAATATCATATTTACAATTCTTTCAGAACACAAAAATATTCTTATTATTTTCATATAAACTATTGCGCAGTTAATTAACTTCTAGAAAGTTCCACGATATGCTGCGCTGTGATTGGTCGAAATTTTATTAAATGATTAAAGTTGTTTATATCAACTATTATTAAAAACGACATTCTATCCAAGTATATTAAGTATTGTAAACACATTGTAAACCCATATTAATACACAATTAGCTCGATTTTGTTATTAATTTCACTTTTTAAACAATTTAATATTCTTTCATCACTTTTTGCTTGAAGTCTTTAAACCGTCGCGAACAGATATGTAAGAAACTGATTAAAAGTAAAATAATTAATACATACTGTATTAATTACAGTTCATATACATATTAAGAGTGAATTTCTAAAAAATAAAAAATTTGATTTTAAAACTGACAGATCTCATCGCTACGTCTTTGTTGATTTTCCAAAGTTTATGAGACTATTGTAGTAGAATAATAAGAATAACATAAAACAACAAAAGATTTTACTTTATTTTAAGCCAGTTTTATTTCATTTTCTGTCTATTACATTAATTTATACATGTTGATTTAAATCAATGATTTTTTTAATCAAAATCAAGCGATTTAAATCGTGATTTAAATCATGATTTAAATCAGTCTGATTTAAATCAGCCAACCCTGCAACCACGCGTGTTTCTACACATTACAACCACAAGTAAATCTCACCCGCATTTGTGAAATAAAACATCTATACCCGATCACCAGATGAAACGTACTCGTATATTATGTTAATGCATATATGTTATAATATGTTCCTGGGTGTACACACACTACGACATGATATATATGATGGGAGTTTTGGCGGGAACTTGACCGTCGGCGGATTGCTGCTCGTGTTATTGTTTAGAATGGTTGGAAGTGGAATTTGATATGTAAATCCAATGTGATGCGTTTTGCGTATTAAATGTTTACGCGTGTGAACTATTAGTGGAAATAACGAAAGAAGTGATCCGATGGTGATGATAAGGTAAGTTATTGTGTTTGCTTAGCCGACTTGAGTCTGTTCGCTTAGATACGATCGCTTGTGTCGCAGCGTATAGCGTACACCCGCAAGAGAATTGGGATTTTTAAAACGAAACGCTTTCGTGAAAGGTTGTTTTTGTTGACTGTGCTACATATACAGAAAATGTTTCTTTGTCCTTGGGAGGACAGTGAATTGCTTCAAGATGAAATTTTAAGTGAACCAATAACAAAAATACTATTTTAGTATGGATTCAGAACGTGATGACGTTTGATACCTTATTATAAATACAGGGGGCAATGACACCCGACACTTCGAGTGATGAAGAATAGTATCTATATTAGTGTTATATGTGTTTAACATTGGCTGTATGAACGTAAACAATGTATGTTTAATTTAATTTAATGTATTTGTAACACAATTTATATTATATACATTTTAGCTTTCTACTCCTTCTCCGTAAAATCTTTAACTTTGGTAAATCTTACACCGCTCCGTGCGCGCATTATGTTTAAAAAAGGGGTACAAATATTTCCCTTGACATATTATATAAAGATTGTGATTAGCGGGTACGTTACCGTGTTCGAGCAGGTAGAGCAGCCTGTCGAGCAGCACGAGCGACTCGACGAGCGGCGCGAGCGCCAGGCGCAGCGAGTACACGAGCAACACGCGGCGCCACGCGCGCACGCACACGCCGCCCGCCCGCACGCGTCCCGCGTCCAGCTCCACGTCCACACGCTGCAGCGCGGCCGCGCAGTAACTGCGCCACACATTCACACCAACATCAACCTCATCCATCTTCACTTTCTACTAGACACTGAACGTAAAAATATTTAATAATAGTAGAAAGCTACTACTATTATTATCTCCAAAAAATAATACAGTCACGAGTTCATTATTTTTAGAGTTAATACTCATCACTTCAAATAAGTTTAATATGCGTGAGATAGAAGTGATTCACGACGAATCAAATGATGGATATTTTTTTATAGAATAAGGACGACAAACGAGCACACAATCCACCTGATAGTATCTGGATCTTATACTCGATTATGAATATGCAAATGCGTTTTTAGCTCTTTTTAACGCTAGTATTCTGTATTATTCTGTGAGAGCGTGATCCTACATCAATCGAGCGAACCTATTCATGCTACTACCGTAATAAAGATGCTACATGACTCTACCATGTAAAATTCTAACACATTGCGATCCGCACCCTTAACCGTTACGCTACTATCACTTCTAATATAATATTTCATCCCCATACATCTTTATAGTTTTTTTTTTAATTTATTTCACTCATAATCGCCCGTCAAAAGTCCACAGTTGAAATATACTCTTCCATAGATTGCTATATCATAGTGGAATACTTGCCATAGTTGCCACGTTTGACAAATGGGTTGGCCGCCGCAGTTTATTATTATTGAGGTATTATCAGGAAGATATTGCTATCTCCTGTTTCGGTTTCCCCCCACCGCCTCTTATGATGCCAAATTTTATTAGCGTTAAAAATTATTGTAGATGTTCAAATTGACTGATCCCGCTCATTTCTTATAACGTGACGTGATAATTAATGTCTCATTTTAAAGAGATTGATTGATAGACAACTAAGTCAAGTATACAACTGTTAAATGTAATGCAATTTGCAATGATTTGTTATAGCATAAAGGAATGTATAAATGATGCTAAGAGAAATGTAAGTGAGGCAGAATGGGGACTGTGTTTTTCCCATTTGTCTAGTTGTTTAGATTGACAGGTAAATGATTAGGAGCCTACATTTATAATTTTTTTTCTTTTTAATCTTAATAAATTCCCCTCTAAGAAAGAATACAAAGATTTTTTACTAAACTTTTACGATAATAATATGATATATTTATATCTCAATGTGCTTGTAAATATGCTTAACGTGAAACGTAAACATACGCAAAATTATCTCTCACAGAAGAAAGTTAAGTCCCTAATTAATAAAATTAAAAAATATATATATATTAATTTTGTTTACATCACCATTCACAATTAAGTTTAATAAATACCCAAGAAATTTATTATAAGCAAAGAAGCCTCAAGCAAGTGAATTTATTAAAAAAATTGATAAATAGTTATATCAAAAAAAGGAAACATTCAATTAAAATAAATTTCTAATAACGAAGTCAAGCAGGCTTTACCAGTGGTAAACACGTATCTGTATAGGTGTCTAAGTGTGTGAGTGAGACCAAACCACCATTAGTTTGGTTGGCAACGGCACGCTCGCAACTGATCACTCCGTCAGACAATGTGCATGTACACGTTCAACTACGAGTAAAGCCTGCTCGACTTCTTGAATTGCAAGAACTTTACTAAAAAACAGTGTGTGTCGTGAAAACACACGATACAAGTCACAGAGTACATTATATATAGGGGGATACAAGTGAAACTTTTGTATTACAGGGAAACATTTCATTTATTGATCAATAACTTTTAAATAGCATAGATTGTGTATTTGTCCAATCCATTCATAACAATCCATGATTTCAAAACTTAACCAATTAATATTAATTTTTTTGGGTTTATGCCATCTAAGATCTACTCTATGTACCACCTTGAGAGTCAATCAATTTTTGTTTGATAAAATTACTTTACCTATCGAATGTAGTAGATCGCGCTATTACTAGACTTTTGCTGTGTGTGAACTGCAGTAATTAATGTTGTGTCAAATGCGATCACTCTTTCTAAAATAAATAAACACCTTGGTAACTGTCTTAAATAAAATTAATATAAGATTACTAATTGAACGAAACACCGTTGTAATCTTATAATTGTATTACTATATACTTTATGGTATGTAAAAGCCTGCGTTCGCTATTTGAATGATCGGACCGAATGAACCGGTACATAGTGTTTACCTCCACCACTTTTCGGTACACAAAAGGTAGCTCAGATCAGAATTTCAAAGCCCCCCACGCCCCATAAAAAGTTTCACTTCAAAAACTACATTTATTTATTTATTTTTAACTAACTAAAAAGAAAATAGAACTGATACCTTTCGAAAGTCATATTGTTTGTGTGTTTAATACTTCTAATTTGCGAGTGCTTCAAGGCAGGATTGTGCTCTACCAAGATTTTCTCTAGCGTCGCTCTGTATGCGTGAATCTAAAATAAGTAAATAAAATATAATAGGAAGTAGAAACAAGCAAATGTAGGACTGTAGAAGATGAGACATGTGAGTAATTGACGTTCTACCTAACAGTTAGTAATTCTAAATTAAATATAAAGACATGGCTTATTATATATAGGCTTATGGAAACCGCCAGAAAAATCTCATGGATTATAGGTGATGGTACAACCATCTAAATAAGAATGATTAAGATGTAATGTACCTAGACTGGAAATTGAGAACAGAGACAATAGTGTAATATAATTGGAATAGTGATTGATAATTCACCAATCAAGTCTTCATATCAAGTCATATATGGCAAATTTTTACAATTTTCTGACGTAGATATTATACAATATTATGTAAAGATAGAACCCCGTCCCATCTGGAAAGGGGCATATAGGTACTCTAGTGACATTATCTAAAAATTAAAACATATTTATGGACTAAAATATTATTGTTATTTAAAATCAAAATTTTAAAATCTGGCGGGTCATTGACCATGATGTTCTTGAACAATACCGCTAACAATAACAATACCAATAATATTGTTACCCGACAGCGCCCAGGCTACATGTATTGCCACGTAAGTTTCACCATCTAATGTAATTTTTGCAGGGTATATTTTCATTTATCCTATAAAAAGATACATATCACAATACCTAAAAGCACACACAGCTTAGACACAGTTTTTACATATTATAAACATATGATTTAAAATCAATTGTACCTTCAAATCCTCATATTGTCCACGCCGAAGTCTCTCAGAGTATTGTTCTATAGCGTGACAAGCTATCTCCCTGCTAGTATAAGACAGTTTGCCACCTAACTTCTTCACATGTGCACTCATAGGGTATCCATAAGGCTCACTATCGCATGTCAGTTTCATGTAACAACATCCAACAACACAAATATACTTTACTTTGCTACAATTAACAAAATGCTTAAGCAATAATGGTGCTAAATCACCACAGGGATGAAGGCCAATCAACCCATATTCTGTAATATTGTCTACTAAGGGAAGTTGAAGTAGCTGCTCATGAGAAGTTAAAGTCATGTTGAAATGCATTGGCCTTTTTAGCTTAGACATGGTTTCTTCTGTGAGATGCTTTTTAGCTGTGTATTCTAATTCTAAATCTAGTTGTCTGCAACAATAAAAACATTAAAAGTCAGTCCCCTTAATTAATTAAACATGTATCGTATTGGTATTGATTAATAAAAAAATAACACTTTATTTTATCAATCAGTAGACTAAAAATGACTTTATAAATAATATTCCTCATATATGAAATTAAATAAAAATAAACATTAGTAGACCATCCACTTCCTCAGCAAAGCAGACGAGACCAATTCAATTGGTCAATTAATTTACTACAGTGGACCCCCGGTAATCCGACCCCTGTCTAATCCGGCACCCCCTGTAATCTGACATGGTCTATTATTTATCATTAGATATTTTTTTGACAATCTTCGCAAATGCATGATTGAACAAGTTATAACTTGTACGCACCACCACTATTGTGTTCGACGCGTAGGGTATTGTTTTGATTCTGGATATTGTGAGCCTCTCTGTTGAACGAACTGTAGAAATGGCTTGTGTCGAGCTCGAGCACCTCATTGTTGTAAGTGTTTACAGACCCCCATGTGCTACTTATGACCATTTTGGAAGGATTGTGGAAGAAGTTTTACTCAAACTTAGTAAACAGAACAAGTCTGTTGTAATGTGTGGAGACTTTAATATCAATCTCCTTGAAACTTCTTCCATTAGTATTAAGTTTAGCTCATTGTTTAAATCGTATAATCTTGTAAATTTATTCTTAGAACCAACACGTATTGCTGGGCCTAGTGCGACCTGTATAGATAACATTTTTACAGATGTTAAGCCCTTGCATAAATTAAAGTTCAGATCACTGTGGACAGTTAGTATCACTACCTTACATACACAAAAAAACAGAAAAATAAGAAAATTGTGTTTGTTCCAATAAATGAACATCGCTTGGAGAGGTTTAGAAGTAATATAATAAAAAGACTTCCATCACTTTCGTTTAAAAATAGTGCTAATTATTTGTATGCTACATTATTTGAAATTATACGTTGTGAATTTAGTAGAATATTTACTTCTAAAACTTTCTCTTTTAACAGTCGCAAATCATTTAATGAATGGGCGACAGTAGGAATTTATTAAAGTAGGCGAAGGTTATACGAGCTTTATGATGAAAGATCATATAATAGTAGTGTTATATTTAGAGATTATGTAAAAACATATTCTAAAATATTTAAAAAAGTGTGCTCCACTGCTAAGGCTTTACATTTAAGCAACAAAATTAAAACTGCATCCGACAAAATTAAAATGACCTGGAGAATAATAAATAGTGAAACGGGCAAGGTCAAACCGCGCAACTCGGATTTTCAAATGAATATTAACAATAATTTAACGCGATCTGATCAAGAAGTTGCTATGGCTTTTGAGAAACATTTTACTGATGTTCCTTTTTTGACAACAAAATCATTAAATTCTTCTCCTACTGTCGCCGAATCATTGCTCAAACAAAATGTAAAGGCTTGTTCAAATACTTTTAAATTCCATAGGGTACTGCCAAAAGATATCGTTAAATATTTTAAAACTATTGATGTTAAGAAAACGGCAGACTTATGGGGGATTTCCGTTAAAGTTATTTTATCTATAATAGATATGTATCTATTATAGATAAAATTAAAAGCACCTTATCTAGCCACTATATTTAATATAAGCGTCGAATCTGGTGTGTTTCCTGATTTAATGAAACATAGTAAAGTCATACCTATATTTAAATCTGGTAGTACATTAGACCCCGCCAATTTTAGACCAATTTCTGTACTACCAACATTAAGTAAAATTTTTGAAAAAATTATTTTAGATCAGATGTTAAGTTTCTTTAATATTAATAAATTGCTACATAATAATCAATTCGGTTTTACAAGGGGTCGCTCGACAACTGACGCTGGAGTTGAGCTTATTAAACATATTTTTGTGCATGGGAGAATTCAGAGGATGCTTTGGGTATATTTTGTGACCTTTCCAAGGCCTTCGACTGTGTTCACCATGAGACATTAATCAGGAAGCTACAGTACTATGGTGTCAAGAACACAGCGCTTAAACTTATTATTTCATATTTAAGTAATAGAAAACAGAAGGTTATTATCAATGGTAAAAGTTCTTCCGGGTCACCTGTACTAATGGGTGTACCTCAGGGCTCGATTCTCGGCCCATTCCTGTTTCTGGTGTATATTAATGACTTACCTCACCTTGTAGGGGATAGTCATGATATAGTATTATTTGCTGATGATACTTCCTTGATTTTTAAACTTAAACGTCAATCATTTAAATGTGACGAAGTGAATAATGCTATATCAAAATTAGTGCATTGGTTTAACGTTAATAATCTGCATTTGAACGGAAATAAAACTAATTGTGTTAAATTTACAACAACGAATGTTCAAAATCTGAATACCAATGTGTTTTTAAATGGGGAGGAATTGAGCCCTGTTGTATCCACTGTTTTTCTTGGCATCACTCTTGACGCAAAGCTCCAGTGGGGCCCCCATATATCCAAATTAGCAAGCAGACTAAGTTCTGCAGCCTATGCTGTAAAAAAGATTAGAGGTCTCACTAGTGTCGAGACAGCTAGATTAGTTTATTTTAGTTATTTTCATAGCATAATGTCTTATGGGATTTTGCTATGGGGAAATGCGGCTGATTCAGAAACTATTTTTGTTTTACAGAAGAGGGCCATTAGAGCTATTTACAATCTAAAACCGAGAGTCTCTTAGAGATAAATTTAAAGAAATTAATATATTAACTTTGGCCTCTCAGTATATTTACGAAAATTTAATGTATGTTCACAAAAACAAAGATAGTTTTAGTAAAAGAAGTGATATACATTCTGTAAACACTAGGAACAAACACAAGCTAGTGATACCAGTTTCTCGACTCCACAGAGTCAGTAATTCATTCTTGAGGCAATGTATACGCTATTACAACAAGGTCCCGGAAAGTGTACAGGTTCTGTCTATTACCAAGTTTAAATGTTTTATTAAGCTGAAACTGTATAAAAAGGGTTATTATAGTATAAATGAATACATGGTTGATAATAACCCCTGGGAATGAGGTGATCGCTTCCAAGCAGTTTCTAAAATAAATTTTGTAAATAGTTCGTAATCATTTATATTGTAAAATTTATTTAAAAAAAAGTCCCGCTGGGTTTCTTGCTGGTTCTTCCCAGGACAGAGGGTTTTTTTCGAACCAGTGGTAAAGTAAAAAATGACTTTCAATAAGAATTACACATGTAATGTATATTGAATAAAAAATATTCTATTCTATTCTATTCTGATTGCTTAGTTTGAATTTGACTACATACATGTGATAAAGATAGCGGTGTGGTCTAGCATGTGTTCATTGTTTACTGTTTATTCATTGTGTATTACTTATTCGTACCTAGTAATGCCGTCACAAGCTCAGAAGCGAAAACACAAAACATCATCTTATCATTGGATCTGGAATTTGTCGGATTACAAGGTACTCTTTTATAAAAATTCCGGACTATAGGGACTCTTAGGCAGTACTCTGTAATCCGACAAATTCGATAGTCCGACACAGCCCTGCAAAATGTTTGTTGGATTACCGGTGGTCCACTGTACTTTTAAGATAAAATGTGCCAATTAATTATGTAGTAAGGTTTTGTCAGTGTTAGAAAAAAACAATATTTTTCTCAGGGAAAATACCTAGATAAACTTGGGAAAAAAACTATATTAGTGCCTGTATATGAGAAAAATCATTTTTTTTAAATGTTACCCCCACACAATGATTTTTTCCTGTATTGCAAAAGCAGTTTAGATACATAAATTTTACAAAACCAAGACAGAACAATTATTTGTAGGCCATACAAATACCTACTTGTTCTGTGCTGAATTTGAACATGCAACCCTCAGTGCCATAACTCATTGCTAAGCTGCTACAACATACAGCACACAATTCTATATATTGCTTCCCTTGTTTTCTGATCCACAAAACATACCTACCATTAGTATAAAATCAATACTGTTGGATGAAGGATTTTTGATTTATTTAAGTTAATTTAATAATGTAATATGAAATTTTAAATCACAAATTAATTTTCAGCTGTCGTGGTGTAACTCTATGAAGGTTTAAAAGATATCAATAGTACAGACCTAGCTGCCTCTGTCAATTGAGGTTGACATTCAATTCCCACTGCAAATAAATCATGTTTGTATCCCAGCACCCGCACAAGGTGCCCTAAACCAGAACCAAAATCAAGAACAGTTTTACAATTGCACTTTTTTGCTGTTTCACTAACAATATCAGCCATTAAACTTATTTCATGTCTTTTCTTTATTTTAACATGTTTCAAAAATAGATTCTTTAGTTTAGGGTGATTGCCAACTTTAAATTCATTGTAATCCTCATTATTTTTAGCCTTATACTGACTTGTGCTTTCTCGAGGGATGCTGAGAGCTTGGACAGATTTAATCATAGACAAAAATGATAATGGAAGCATATGCTTTATTGGTGCACCTGTTAAATAGGCTCCCAAATCTTCAGGATCCATTGTTTCAACACTTTCACGCCATGACTGGGGTAGCCTTTCCCATTGGTTATCAATGTAAAAGTCCTGTAATTAAAACAAAAACAGGAATCTTTAGAAAAGCCTACAGAAAATACAGAAAACCTCATTTGTGATTGTTGTGTCTTACCCTAATGTAAAAAGTAAAGAAATGGGACTTTTAGAATAATACAAAAAGAAAGTAAGTTATATAATCAGAATAGCGTTGATTACAACTACAGTTAATGTTATAAAAATATATATATAGTTGATTAACATGATTAAGTTAAACTGGAATTAATTTTGATCCATGCTCAGAACAAAAGCCGTAGAAAATTTTAAAAAAGAGCTATGGTAGCTCTGGGGCTTAGCATAAATTTCACAGTACACAAGCAACCTGGGTTTGATCCCCGCTGGTAATAACGGAATTGTAAATTGCAATTTTAAGTGCTGATTTGCCACATGCTCTGCAGTGAGGGAAAACATTATAACAAAACCTGTATGTCCGAGAAATAAAAATAAATATTTCAAAGATATGTGAAGTCCGCCAATACGCATTGGGCCAGTGCGGCGAACACTTCCTTGCCCTAAAAAGCTCTCAGAAATTAGAGGCGGACTGTACCCAGCAGTGGGTCATATATAAGCTGTAACTTTATTAGAACAAAAAAGAAAGATAGACAGATCACTGCATACATTTCAATAACACAAAAATCATGCTCAACTTCTCGACACACCTTTCTTTTTTCTTAATCAGCCTGTAAAAGATAACTGCTGGATGCACACATATGCACCTAAAATCATGTTCTTGGATACAAATGAGGGTTGGCTATAGATATCCGGTACTTGATTTTAGTTATGTTTTCAACTTAGGAGGCTTGTCAGGGTTAAGCATGAACATTTTAAACTGTTTTTGAATGTCGGAAATGCGTTTTTAATTAATTATGACAAAAATAAATTTCAATAAAAATTCCGTATAACGAAACGCAAATATGACAATTTTGTATAGTGTTATGAGATTAGATGTCAAAAACAGATGCAAAAAGTGTGAATCGGAACGGTTGTTGACGGCCATGTTGTCGGCAACCGTAAATGTCAAATATAATATATTATCTATGATGTCAAATGTAAATTGTCATTCCGTTTCTCTAGTAGTCACGCGAATGTTCTTTTTTGTGCTTAGTGCTGTGTTTTCCCTGTTTTTTCGACGACTTCTGCTCTGTTTTTGGACTTCTTTGATTGCCCTTACATTTGACCTTGGCTTTGTTTCTGGTTTTGATTGGATTGCATTACTTTGGACTTTGGCTTGCTTACCGGACCTGAGAATGAGCGATTACGAACCCGTAGCGGGGCCTTCTTCGGCATCTGACGCTTTACTCGAGGAACCATCACACATCGACGAAGACTTCTCTGACGACGGCGACTATGTGAAGCGTCGACTATACGTGTCTGAGATTATGTTCATGTGTAATCTGTCGGATATTGTGCGTGAACTTGGAACGAACGAGCAATGTGTTCGATATAGTGAGGATGAAGGGCTGGTCCTAAAGGAACGAAAGTGCGGCAAACATAAAACTAATATGAAAATTTCATACTCAAGTGGCTGCAAATCGCTTGGTACTTTCATATGTGCTAAAGCATCCTGTAAGGGGAAAGCTGGAGGCAGTGGAGTTAAAATCTCACGACGACAAGGGACTTTTTTTGAAAATGTAACTCTTGATATGCCCCACATATATTACCTCATATATGCATATTCACAAGGATGGTCTTATAATCAAACAATCCATGAAGACCCATATAAACGACAGAGACAACAATGTTTAAGCCCAAATACAATATGTGATTGGTACAATTACTGCAGAGAGGTAGTTGTTATTTACTACCTCGAGAAACAGAATCAATTTACTGGAAAGATTGGTGGCCCTGGTAAAATTGTACAAATTGATGAGAGCAAATTTGGAAAACGAAAATACAATAAAGGTAAATATAAGTATGATTATGTTTACACCTTTTTTTGTCATACTAAATGTCTAATATTAATTTTATTTGTTATAGGACGTCACATCGAAGGCCACTGGGTGCTCGGTATGATAGAAGATGGGTCTGAGGATCTCAGACTAGAGGTGTGCCCGGACAATATTAGGTCTGCTGAGGTACTGGTGCCGCTTATACAGAGACATGTGGCGGCGGGTACCACAATTCATACTGATTGTTGGCGGGCATATGATTGTTTGGCAGAACACGGGTATACACATAAAAAAGTTAACCACTCAGACCCAGACAATCCATTTGTGGCTGAAGATGGGACTCATACACAACGAATTGAGTCGCAGTGGAGAGCAGTGAAGAGGTTTTTTAGAAAACAAAATTATAATAATTCTCAAAGTTTTACAGACGTGATAGTAGAGTATTTGTGGAGACGAAATGTAGAAAAGTTTAAAAAGGATCCATTCAAAGAAATTATGCGAGCAATAAAGCATGTGTATAAAATAAATTAAATAATTAAAATTACATTGTTTCATTTACCACTATCATAGCAGAGTTTAGGGAAACCTGACTTTAGATAAGATAGATCGAATTTGTACTAAAACTGACTCAGAACACCCCGACTCCACGTAGTCTTGTCTGCCCTACCCCTAGTGTTTTTTAAAGCATGTATGATTAACATAAAAAAAACACAAATCAGTGGATGTGCCTACTAGATCTGCCTTACTGTTTACTGAAAAAACTGAAATATTATTATGATGCAGATCAACACTCGTGATATTTTATGTCAATTCCATTCAGTAAATTAATTTATATTTTAATCACTACATGAATAAAAAAGTTAAGAATAGAGAAATACAAGCGTTATTTATAGGTAACATAATTTTAGAGGTGAAAGTTTTACTATTCTAATGCAAAAATAATATCATTTTATTAAATATTAAGTAATGTAGAGAATAATAATATTTCAAAAGGTAATGTAGAGAATAATAATATTTCAAAAGTTAAGCTTTACCAAGACATATAAGTCCAATAGCCATTCAAAAATGCGCAATACTTTTTGCACCATAGTAGTTCTTGTTCTCACAGCTTCTTCTTGGGAATTCATTTTAAAATTGATTTTTTTGTAATATTTTACGCGTGAGTGTTTCTAGATAATTTGTGAATATTATTACTATTTATTATGGGTGGGTGGGTCAAGGAAAAATAAAGAGACGAACACAGAGTATCTTTTTATACTAGAGGCTATGGAGTATGGAGTGTAGAGTAGAAGGAGGACCCATAGACTAATATATAATACTGGAGATAGACTGGCAACTGAAGTTTTCATATTTAGTTACCGTTCAGCGCCCTCTGAACGCCAAGCAATGAACTAATATATATATATATATATATATAAATATATATATATACGTAGTTGCGTATATGGCAATATGTATAGGTACTTACGTATGAATTGCTGTTTTATTTATAGATAGAATATTTTATCTATAAATAAAACGGCAATTCATACGTAAGTACCTATACATATTATTTATATGTCGTTTTAGATACTTAAACAGTGTTTTGAAGTAAGCATATTTTTAGGGATGTTTTTAGATACACAAGTTTAAGTATCTTTGGGTATTCGGGTAAAGGTAATGAGATAAATAATACAAAAATATATAATTCAATGAATTTATTAATTATACATTAATACATTAATTTCGACGCCGTTTTGCCTCTCGTTTCGCACCCTTTGTTTTATTGTAATGTTCTCAAGCCCGTAGGAAAAATGGAGACATTTTCACCACTATCATTACATAAATTATAATAGCTCTTGCTATTAAGTTTATTGCTGACTTCTTTGCACCAAGTAATTATGAAGAGCACAACACTTTGATGGACCAAATATTTCTTTAAATTTTCTTAATGTTTTTCACATTTCATAAAATTTAAGTCTATGTGGACTGATATAAACAGCATGATATATTTAACAATGTTTTCTACATGTGCATATTTATTTAAAATATTCCATGTTATGTGTTCTACTGGTGCAAAAAAGTCAAACAATGGCCGGGTAGGATAGCATAACCATCTTTTGCCACAATATTCTTTTTTTATTATAAAATTGTGGAAATCTGCATTATTACATACATTTTTTAAATATAAACTTTTTTGTTTTGATTGCTATCCACCCACTACAATAAGCTATGGCCGCGCATTTCTCTACATGAACTTTGGTACGGCTTTCTAGAATTTGTTGTGTATTTATTAAATCAATATTTAAATGTTCATTGATAATTTCTGCCCTTAACTTATTTGTTATTAATTTAAAACCTTTTATAGTGTTTACCCAACTGGTTTACAGTTACCTTTTTACTATTATTATTTATATACTTCATTGACCTTAAAATGGGTAATGTTTTGTTCCATAATTTTAAATGGGATGAGTTTGGTGTGACAGCAGATCTGTATATTTTACCTTCTTCTTTATGTTAATTTGAGTCGAACAGGTTGTTGAACAGCATTATCAAATGTGCAGTGTCCACACTTTCCTCTGGCAAGCACCCACTTTCTAGAAATTATAATTTTATGTTAAATATATATATAAGTATTAAATTATTGTATTTGCTTTTTTTATTGGGGCATCCTAAACTACTGGATAATGTTTAGAGGCATTTCACACCAAGTGTACATTATGTGTCTCATAAAACATGCATCATACAAATCATTTTTTGGCTACTGATATTGATTATAATAATTCATTACTGTCCCACTGCTACTAGGCACAGGCCTCTCAGAAGTAGAAGGATTAAGCCTTAGTCCACATGCTGCCCTGATGTGGTTTAGCGGACTACACACACATTGAGAACTTTATGAGGCCCTCTCAGGTGTGGAGTTTTTCTCCCAATGTTTTCCAGCACTGTTAAAGCAAGAATAGAACAGAATAGAATAATTTTTTATTCAATATACATTACATGTGTAATTCTTATTGAAAGTCATTTTTTACTTTACCACTGGTTCGAAAAAAAAACCCTCTGTCCTGGGAAGAACCAGCAAGAAACCCAGCGGGACTTTTTTTAAAAATAAATTTTACAATATAAATGATTACAAACTATTTACAAAATTTATTTTAGAAACTGCTTGGAAGCGACCACCTCATTCCCAGGGGTTATTATCAACCATGTATTCATTTATACTATAATAACCCTTTTTATACAGTTTCAGTTTAATAAAACATTTAAACTTGGTAACAGAGAGAACCTGTACACTTTCCGGGACCTTGTTGTAATAGCGTATACATTGCCCCAAGAATGAATTACTGACTCTGTGGAGTCGAGAAATTGGGTCACTAGCTTGGTCTTTGTTCCTAGTGTTTACAGAATGTACATCACTTTTTTTACTAAAACTATCTTTGTTTTTGTGAACATACATTAAATTTTCGTAAAGATACTGAGAGGCCTAAGTTAATATATTTATTTCTTTAAATTTATCTCTAAGAGACTCTCTCAGTTTGAGATTGTAAATAGCTCTAATGATCCTCTTCTCTCTTTAGACAAGTAATCAATAATCAAATTCTGTTCCTTACATAACCTGCATGAAATGCAAGTGTTTGACCGCTGGGCTAAATACCATTTTGTTTTTATAAAGAAAATGTAGGTACTAAATTTTATTGAAACTCAATTCAAATTAATGTTTAATGATTATGACCTACATTACTCCCGGGTTGCCTAACAAAAATTTGTCCCACATACCTTTAATTAAATATATTGTAATTAAAACAAATTGCAAAAACATATTATATTGTTTTTGGTTAATTCACTTAATTCATTAGTTTCACACAAGTTATAAATGAATGTACAATAAATATATGTTTTATTGTACATTCATTTATAACCTGCGTGAAACTAACACAGTTGCTAGTATCAAATACTTTACTTACTTTGTGTATACTTACTTTGTAAACTTTTCATTTGTAAACTTATTATTGTGTGGCAATAAATATTATTATTATTATTATTATTAAATAAACTTAATCAAAAACTGATTTACCTGATACACCTGCAGAGGGTAAAAGCAAAGATGGAACAGCCAATTTACAAAGCCTGTTTTTTGGGTAAAGAAACTCTTTCTGAAAGTGCTGACGACAGATTCTATGAGTTTTACAGGTGTTGTCCAGACTCACAATACCACCTCCAATAATCTTTACCCAATTATGAAACCTTTCTGCATCTTTCTCAGGACATGGAAAGTAATGTAGAGGTACACCTGAAAATAAAATAAAGTGACTATAATGGGCCTGAATGAAATGTGATTTTTAATCATTCTAAGTTACTCTACATTATTTTACAATACATAATAATGTAATTTAATAATAGTAAAATAAATTAAGTTATTGATAAATAATTAATCATAATTATTTTTCAAGATCACTTAGTTCAGAGTTCTAAAGACTAGCAATGTTATAAAAGACAATTTCAAAAACTCAAAAGCCCGGCTAAAGTGGTGTAAGTAGATGCAGATTTATAGAACCACATTTTATGTGAGAGAGTTTATTATAATTACATATATATCATCTGATATCAAGGATGACTTTTGTACCATAGGGACAATCAACTAAATTATTAATTTTCATCATTTTCTCCATCGGTCTAGGTTATTTACTACAGATAAAGAATCTTGATAATATAATTATGTCTTTTCACTTTACCTTGCATTTCAAAAATCTAAGAATTTACAAATGAAATATATATAAACCCTCTTGTGAACTCTATGTAATAGTTAGGTCAGTGGCTTGTCTTAGATTCATTAGTAAGTTTAGAGAATTTTTCAATCTAAGTCAAATCTTATTTATTCATTTAGACCATATCAATGCCTATTGATTTGACTTTTGAAAGTCGAGATTTTAGGTGCATGTTTGAAAATGTAGATTCCGAAGGAGAAAAACATGCAAGAAACTCCACTTTTAAATGCAAATTGAGAAAAAAGACATGTCAAGATTGTTTATCATGTTTTAGTCCTTGCTCTAAGGTTTACTATGAGTTAACTGAGCCGACAGACTACGGCCCGTATTCTAGAACGACACTCAGCGGCGATCTCAATTTGAGCACATCTTAGTGACGTATTTGTATGAAATGATAGACTCAAATCATTCTCAAGTAAAGCTGTGTTTGAGCATCATTCTAGAATAAGAACCTACATGTAGCATTTATTATTTTTAAATGTTAAAAAACCTTATAGGAACTAATGGTATTTTAGAAATTTTGACTTACTGAATAAATAGAAATGTCGTTTTTCACTGCTTTTTAATTGTTAAAAACAGATTAACCAGTTTATGGTGTATTAGGCACGTAGAATATAAGCCAGCGTAGAATACACATATTTGTTTAAAAGATTATTGAGGTTATGAAACTTCAGAATATAAAAACACACTTTACTCACCATCTTCTGCTACTACTTGGTACCCAGGAACACAGAAGATATTTCGTGGCATTGTGTAAAATGTAAAATAACACTACACTGAGATATATATGGTCCAAACTCCCTACGGAGGGCCTATCAACATGTATGTCCAAAACACTTCCACAAAGTACAGTCTATGCTGGAATTTCGGTATTTCTGGAATATACGAAGAAACTGAAGCTCGACTCAACGTAGTAACATAAAAAACACCAAAAATTACAAGAAAAATGCGCACGAGTATGCAAACACACCGGTGAGAAATTTCTTCTAGTTAGACTCAGTGTTGTTAAAATTTGGTATCAATAAACTACTCTAAAGATTCTAAGATCGTAACTGTAATAAATACTATATAAATTATAATGTCACTAGTACTTAATATAAAATATTTTTAAAATAAATTGTACTGTTGTTAAATCATTTATTTTTGTGTACCTGGACTAATAAAAGAAAAATAGCAAAATCATCCGTTATTTTAAAGTACCAAGTGTTCCAAGTAAAAAAAAGAGTGGTAACACTGCAATAAAAAGTTCCATGTATGCGGGATAGATGGCGCTTTTCACAATAAATAAAAAATGTTTTAAGTTACCAGGGCATGGGAGGACCATCTCTGTATATGAAAAGTGTCCCTAAAAACGCGTCCAATAAGGGTGGCGCTGCAGTAGC